TCCCCCCCCCCCCCCCCCATTTCCAGCAAAATTACACTTCCCCAATCTCTGGTAGTGTTGTTTCTGTTGGAAGATGGAAAGTACATGTTGGGTGTGAGAGATATTAGTTGGTGCATGTAAATGCATGTAAATAAGAATCAATTCGCTTCCATATTACATTTTATTAAAAAAAAATTATATATTTTTTTTCTGGGCCTGTCTTTTTTGGAGTGTGACTTTTGACAGTCGCACCTATGCACACAGATATGTGAGCCATCCCCACATTTATTGGAAGGGCAGTAATAACCCAGAATTGGGTATGTAATTGGAGACTCTACTTTGGTCAACCACTTAGTCAGAAACCATTGGGAGAAAATGCAATGGCTGTTAGTTTTCTTGATAAGCCATGGCTTGGCCAAGCCTGTAGATGATATTGAAGTACTCAAGATAGTGAAAACAAAAGTGATTGTGAGGAATTTGAGAATGGACAGTCAACTTAGTGGTCAGTGCAGTTCCCTTGAAGAACATTGAAAATGAGGTGTACTGGGGAATAAGTTCCTAACTTGACATCCACATTGTTGAGGCCTGAACTGTACTTAGGTAGGGGAAAGTTCTTGGGTCATAATGGAGACCTCAGTGAAGCCATTGACTCAGTATGTGGCAGTTCAGAAAAAGAGAAAAATTCTGAAACAAGATCCCTGGGAAGCATTTACTGTAGTACTTTCATGAGACCCTCCTTTGTGCCAAGGATTCAGAGTTTTCTTAAAGAGGATGGAAATCCAAGTTAGCAAGGAATATTGAACAGTCTGGCACCTGTAAGACATTATCCTTCTCAGCCCTCAATTGGACATCCTCTCTGCTAGAGAAGGAGCTGGTTCCTTCAAGCAACTATTTGGGGCGCTGGATCAGGATCAGCATAAGAGCATCAAGTTCTTAAGTGAACCGCATACATAACTTTCTGCAAGATCCTTGTGAAGGATTTGTTCTCCAAGGGACATAATCCAAGGGAAAGCAATGGTAAATGATCCATCCAGGGTGAAGCAGTGTGCAAAGGAGGTTCACAAAACAGATGAGAGCTTTGTGTGTAATGTTCATTTGTCTGATTTGTATTCCATTTCTTTCTTTGGTGAGTACTCAGGTCAAATAAAGAACTCTCAATAACTGGAAATGGAAGAACTAAATTGAAAACTTATCAAAAAACTGTAGCTTTTGGGCTCTTCTTCTCCAAAGAAATGAGAGGATGACAGCTCATCACCATTGTGGAAGTATGGCATGACATGTTACACATGTTGAAATGTCCTCACCTACCACAACAGATGTCCATACCTCTAATGGGCACATAGAAACTATTCTTTTTCTTTCTGCCCATGATCACTTGGGCACTGAAAGCACAGGAGACCTAATAATAACTATTCTGGCAGAGGCCTCAATTTTACAGAGGACATTGCTGTATTCTAATGGTGGGTTTTGAAGGTGACAGAGCTCCACAAAGTTCCAAATTATTAGAACTCCTTTATTTGTACCTGCTCCATATCATTTGAACATCAAAGGAGAAACCTTAAGATATGTTGTCATTCATTTAAAACATCCATCAAAAGCTTTTGTGCTGTCTTCTGGATAGAGGAGAATGCCACTCCAGGAAAGCTTGCTCCACTGTAGGAAAGAAAAAAGCCATGGAGGTAATCAGGAATTTGGTGTGTAATGATAATATCCTAATCACATGAAGTAATAGTTTGGTTTTCTTTAGTTTCCAGGGAAGTGACTCTTGATTTGAATCTTTAGCTGGATGAGATCTAATAAACTGAAGGATAGTGCAGAAGCCCTGATACCAGAACAGGGATTTGGCAGCTTTTGAATGGCGCTCTTTTAGGAGACTCCAGCATCCAGCCTCTTCGTAAGGTCTTGAGAGCTACAGGATTGGGCCTGTTAGAACCTGGATGGGAAACAACCAGAAAATTTCAGAGCTGAAGGCTAGATTGAGACATTACAAAAAAAACCTGGCATTTTCCACAGCCAGTTTTGTATGTGGGGCCTTGTGAGTGCAGGCACACATGGACACACCCAGGATGTCCTTTGCAAACTGTCAGAATACTGTAAATCAGGCTACCAGATCTAGACTACAAAAATCCAAACTACTACTAGATGGCAGCATATTGTTTCTATCATGTTGCAGCCACCCAGTGGTCATCCAAGGTTTTGAAAGCCAGGGGTGGAAGCCCTACTTTAACTCTTGGCACTACTGACTGAGATCCCAGCCAAGAGTCTTGGAGATCCAGGACATCCCTTTGAAGTGCTGGGAACTGTGGGGGAACCCCCAGAGAAGATGGATGCAACAGACCTATTTGAGAGGAAGCAGGAAAACACCTTCATGCTACTTAAGTTGAGAGCACTGGGGAATTCAGAGAAAGGGCCAGAGAGAAAATCCTGGAAGAAGAAACTTAGGATGTCCAGTACCAGCATGTCAGGGAATTCTGCTACTAGGAGGCTCAGGTACCCTGAGGAGTTTGCAGCCACCTCCACCACCTTTGTGCTCAATGGCTGAAGCCAGAAAGACACACAAAGGCTGAGATGCTGGACCTGGTGGTCCTTGGAGCAGTTCATGGCCATCCTGCCCACAGAAATGGAGAGCTGTGTTTGGGAGTGTGGAGCGGAGACCAGACCCCAGGCAGTGGCCCTGGCATAAGGCTTCCTCCTGGGTCAGGCAGAGGATAAAGAAAACTGAAAGAATATTTCACCCAGGAAGAAACCTTGTTCTTGATTTTGTGAAATCCCTCTGAACTTGGATTTGTGGAATTCCTAACATTGAGAGATTTCATATTGAGATTCCTCAAAACCATCCTCCATCCCCATTTATGTAGAGGATGGACTGTTGGCGGTAGATGAGAATGCCACCTTTTCTAGTTGCCAGCTCCAAACTTGCCTTTCTTCCTCACTGCTGCTTGCGCGCAGGGAATTTTCATGTATGTGGATGTGCAAGGTTCCAAAGTGAGGAGAGATCCACCAGATCCCTCTCTAGGGACACTCTTTTTAGGGCACCCCCAAGAGAATCAAACAGAAGAACTCACCAGGTAAGGGAGGATTACACAAGTAGCTTCAATCTGGATGAGTTTTTATTCAATACCTCCCCAGATATTAAACTTTTTTTAAAAACAAAAATAAAAACTATCATTCCATCCCCTTTGTCTCACTCATAGGGGATGAATGTACAGCTTTTATAGCACTTGAGATATCTCTTTTTTCTGGTGGAACCGAAGTCACAATGGTGGCTCCAGCTCAGGTAGAGGAAGTAATATGTGCTGAGATGCTTTGGAGATCTCCAAATAGCCCAGGTAGTCTGCTGAGAGAGTGCCACCTCAAACAGGTTTAACATTTTTTCTTATATCAGGGCTTCTGACATAAGCCTCAATGTATTTGTTGTCATCAAGGCAAAGATTCATAACCCCTGCAGCATCCTGGAATCGAAGGCAAAGCAAAATTTGAACTCTGTACCCTCTATTGATCAACCTGATTTCTGCACTGCTTTCTGGCATTATGGTGCCAAAAACTGAAAAACTGCTGGAAAAAATCTGGAAAAAAAAGTGGTTTTCCATTTATATAATTAAAATTTGGAATTGCACAGAGAAAAATGGCCATTGGTTCCATTGCAAATCTCTGTCCTGAGTATATATTAGTGCATTGCATTTACCTCTGAGTTGCTGAAATGCAGACAACAGTATGCTGGCTTGCAATGTAATCTCTAGATTAGGGATCCTAGGTTACCTGAAATACCCAGGTGGGATGGCCAAGGCTGGTGATTTGAGGGCCTCCTGGATGAATTTTCAGTTTCTGTCAAGAGACCTTGATCTTCATTTTTAGATCCATAGTCCTTGTAGCATCATATAGTCTATCTAATGTTTGCTGCAAATCATTCAGGTTCTCAGCCAGTTAACATGGCATCATCTGCATACAAAACACCCATATGTTCACATCCCCAATGACCTCACCTCTACCATCATCACAAGCATTCTTCACACATGATGTGAAAGGGGGAGGTGGTGTGATGGAATGCAGTAGAGACCCAGGTTCTCAGGGAGCGCATTCCAGGAAGGAAGAAAAGGAGACAAGAGGCAACATAGTCCAGAGCAGGAGCATGGGAAGAACAGACTTAACCACTCCCTAGATTCTCCTAGAATATATCTATTAGGTTAGCATAATACAGATTTAATCGGGCAAGATTCTGACTATATGGTATAAGCAATAAGGAACTCAACTTGGCTAGATTGTTTTCCTGTTGCTCTTGGGCTGGGCCTAACACATGAATCCATAAATATATTATACAACTAAGGAGATACCACACCTGCTCATCTTACTCCCTGCTCAGGGTCAAACTATTTGCTAAGAGTACATTTATTCTTAGGTATGTTTTACTTTTAGCATATATTGTCCACTCCCTGACCAGCATAAAGCTACAGCATATTTCCCAAATTTTGTTTATTGTTGCCTCTCATAATCTTTTAATTAGAATTAAGCATTCCTAAGGATGCTTAATAACCTAACCCACTTGTAGTTTTTGCATTTACTATTGCTCTCTTTCCCTTTCTATAGAAGAACAGTAATGGCATTGTTCTAATTGCCAAGCACAGATGCATTGTAAAGATCTTCATTGGAGTCTCCTACAGATATTGGAAGACATGCAATGTTATCAAGTTTTATAACTCTCTTTCCCTTTCTATAGAAGAACAGTAATGGCATTGTTCTAATTGCCAAGCACAGATGCATTGTAAAGATCTTCATTGGAGTCTCCTACAGATATTGGAAGACATGCAATGTTATCAAGTTTTATAACATAGGTCTCCATCTAATGCAGGGCTCCTCAACCTCAGCAACTTTAAGATGGGTGGACTTCAACTCCCAGAATGCTGGCTGGCGAATTCTGGGAGTTGAAATCTACCCATTTTAAAGTTGCTGAGGTTGAGGAACCCTGATCTAATGTACATGCATCACGGCTGTGATGTTATCACCATTCCTCCAGGAAAAGATTCTTGCTAACTCCTTTGCTCACAGTAATGGACAAAAAAAGTTGTTTTTTTTAAAGGCAGTATGTAGGATTTGCAACTGCCAAAATTAAAACGGCAATTGGCCATTTGTTCACTTCCAGCTGGTCAAAATCCAAAGTCCTAAGAGCTGCAGGCTGTATCTGTGACGTCTTGCTGTATCTGGTTTTCATTACTATTCTTCTATTTT